TTTTTTTTTTTTTTTTTTTTTAAGAAGTAGCAATTGATTTGCAAGAAATTACATAATATACATATATACAAAGAAAAAAGTATCTTTAATTTTTCTCTTCGATTAAAAGAATTTTGATGAGCACTACTTGAAAGAATCGTTGAAAAATTGAAACGAATTCCTTCGAATTAATATTGGAATTATTTCTTAAATATTACAGATGGAACTTTCAAAATTAATATGTGGAGTTTTATGCAAGGCTATTAATCAGATTTAAATTTTGTTGAAAGTTAAAGTAAAATAGCTAACAAATAAAAATCGTCCATTCTTGGCTGCTATTATATTCATTCATCGAAATAAAGTATTAATGCGACAAGTCAATATTACAAATTATTACAAATACCATTAATAAGAATCTTTTTAAATCCTTACAAATTCTTTTTGACGAAGAAACAAATGTTACGAGCTATATAAAAACGGGAGACGTTGAAAAATTGCCAAAATTATTCATCAAACGTGGCGCCCTCACGTGTGTTTAAGATCGCATTAATTCATTTCGACAAAGAAAATATTCTTCATCCTCGTCCTACTTCTCCAAGAAGTTAGACTGTCATCATTTAAATTTCATATTTTCGTCGTTTTAACCGACTCGATTTAAATTGCAAATCAACGATCCTCTAAGACATATAGGTTGAAGATTTAATGAACTTGGCGCTCTCTGACGGCTGAAACTTTCGTATTATTATTGAAACTCCTCGATCGATCCATGGATCCTGGCTACAATCGTAAATGAACCGTTTTTCGATATTTCTTTTGTGTTTTTCAATCATATTTTCCTGTTTGGAAAAATACATTGCAAAATTTTACTCTTTTCATTTCAATTAAAATCGAAATTGAAAGATAAACGATTTTTATTTTCAATTTAAGCTTTATACTTACAATTAATTCTAACATTTAAGAAACATTTAAACACGATTCAAACACGATTTTTAAATTATTTTTAAACAATTATAGATATTGAATTCTTTTTACTTCGAGGAAAAAAAAACAAAAAGATTCTTAAATAACAATTATTTTCCATTTTCTCCAATTTCCTTACTTTCTTCGTATATCAGCAATAAAGTAATTCTCAGAATATAGATAGTCATTAAGCATATACTCTCAAGATGCAATCAGATTCGAAAAATCTGAATTTTTCAACGGAAATGAATAAAAGACCGATCTGACTTGGAAATAACGCCGTGGATCAATTGTTCGTTTCGAACTGGGGCGAAATGAATACGAAGACGCGATCTGCATTCACAGAGGGCGTGCGCCACGGTTACACTATCGTATATCAGCTTCCTTTCGTCATATACCTTTCTCCCAATTGGAACACGACGCCGCTTTGAACTCGGTGGCAATTAGTTTTCCACGGCCACTTTTCCACGGTCAATTGAGATTTCACTTGCCAGCCGATCTATCTCTACACGTTTTCGACCAATCGGGTCAAGTTTCCAACGTGAGCCAATCAACGACTAACGTATCGTTTAAACGTCTTGCGTGTTTAACATCTGCCATCGACGAATCATCGATCATAGTGAAACGATTTTTACATCATATTTGACGGTAGGAAGTGAAGCAATGGTTGGTGAATTGATGTAATTGGCTATTTAATCGAATTACAACCAAGAAAGATTACTATAAATTACAAAAGATAAATATAAAAGAATTTGAGGTTAGAAAGTTAATTAATCCTTATTAGAACACGTTACAAGCAACAATGTTTAATTATAATTATAATACAAATTGTAGTTAATATAATAAATCAATCTACGAAATTTTTGTTATTTTTTTTATCAGATAAGATTTTATAAACAATTTTAATCGTTCTATTTTATTTTATATAGGATGTTAATATTAATGGAATTCGATAATATCGAAATACAAACTATTTTACGTTAATAATATATTCTTATGTTAATTTCGGTTTCATTAAACTGTTTTGTGCAATTATGAATAAAAATTCTGAACTTTCTTTTGCCCAAAAAAGAATCTTCTTACCGAAAAGCTTTATTTCAAATATATGTTATAGGCAATTATATTAGGTGGATTATTGCGAACTGAAATTGATGCGACTAATAATTCCATAATTAAGATCTTAAAATTTCTATCTTTTGTTTATAATTCGTACTTATCGGATTAACCGTATTACTCGTAACATCTGGTTACCAGCTTGTTGTTTAGATACACAGATTAAAGAGGATTATTTGAAAACCCAATCTGTTTCGGTTTACGTTTTCGATTCCAAATTGTACGTATAAATATTGTATGTTATTCGAGGAATCTATACGATATTATCCAGGTTTTTAGTTCATAGGTGTTACTCGTAATTTCGAACAAGATGCTTCATCGTTTCGTGTCGTTATAAGTATAGAAACAGGATTCATTTTGGCGATATGAAAGGCTGAATGATGATGGATTCGCGATGAATGAAAGGAATGTGTTACTCCTTTCATAACGAGAACCATTTTAGGCATCGTCTATTGAACACTGCCACATATTGAACAGATGGCGTTTCTGTAATATTTGATGAAAGCTTTTGAAGGCCTTAGGAACCTCGCTTCGCATAACTTTCATTATAGAGTATTTAAGATTGAAATTCCGTTTTGTGGAAAGTCATTTTTCATGAAAAATTTAATTTTATCTTTAGTTAATTATATAATATTAAAAGATGAAAATAAAGTTCCTTTGTCAAATAATTCAATAATAATTATACAAAAATAGGATTCTAAATAAATAGAATATGCTAATAAAATAAAGGAATAAGAAGTCGAATAAAAAACAAAGGAATGATGAATAAATAATGAACAAGTGAACAAATACTAAAATTGAATCAATAAACGTTTAGAAATCGAATAAAACCGTTTTTCCTTCAATCGAATAAAAATTTATTTCAACAACGTCTATCATTGCCATACGAGATCCTGATTGAAAAGCAAAAAAGGTTTGATCGGTTGCAACTTAAGTATCGCGCCATTCTAACATGGAATGCACGTGTCGTTTCGTTCGTTTTTGCAGCAAGACCAATAAGGTAAACGATAAACGATCGAGATAAAAGTCACTACCATAAACAGAAAAATCGAGATGTCACCATTTCGACAAATTATCGTAAACCCACGAGGGAATATACTCGTGCACGTCGCCATCGTAATGATTAATTCGCATGAGACTAATAATTAAATTCTTTTTTTTTTTTTTTATCAGCGTTACGTTACGTTTTTTGCGCATGAATAGAATTCATAAATCAGACATAACGAGTCTCGATTCACACACCTTTTTCTCCGTTACGTGTTCGTTTTACGTAAATATAAACTCGAAGCATATATATTCTTTTTTACTATAAACGCCATTTTCTTGACACGTTTTTTTCTTTAATTCTTTAAGTGGTTTAATCTCGTGTATCAGGAATGACGTACAAATGTACAAGGAAGTCCTAGAAGCTAAGACAAATACAAAAATATCGATGAGATTTATTTATTTATTTATTCATCAGTTACAAGCGATTAAAATTTAGTTGTTAAACGGGGATATGAAATGATAATAGATAAATGAAGTAATTAATTCTTCGTGTAATGTTTCTTCTATGCATAATAATTCAAGAGTCGAAATAAAATAAAATAAATTCGATCATTTGTTTGTTAATTAATTAATTAATTAAGTATATAACTTGAGAAGAGAGATTTATAAAATTTTCAGTAAGGATCGATCGTGTTATTGGCGAGAGTTAAAAAAGCAAAGATGTCCTGTATAATAAGAAACAAAAATAAGAAAAAAATTTGGTCTCTTTTCTTTTCTGTTCGTTGATATACTGTTTTATTAAACGGGGCGTTAATTTTCTAACCAATTTGACG